TGGATGCTGCTGGCCACATCTTGAAATCTCTCTTGCCACTATTTCTTATTCTCCTCCTGTCTTTCCAGCCATACCTCAATCTCTTAACCTCATTCATTCCACTTATTTTTTTCCTAGAGATATATGAGTACCTACTGCATGCCAGGTGCTCAGCACTCAGCAGCAAACAAAACATGCATATTACCTTCTGGGAGCTTGCATTCTAGTTATAGTTTACTTCCTCTTTACTCATTAAATGTTGGTAATGTTTTCTGTCATCATCTTCTCTCTTCCTTTCCACTCTCTCAGACTTTATCCAGTAACCCCCCTCCCATTGTCCCCAAGACTTATGCTAATAAACTCTGTATCTGTCCCTAAAATAGGGAATGTGTTACATACTGGGGTGTCTTCCTCACTGGAATGCAAGTTCGTTGAGATCAAGGAGTGTGTTTTATAGCCAGTCACAGTCTCTCCCATATTGTCTGGTACATAGTAGATATTCTGTAACTAGTTTTTGAATAAATGTAAAGGGGTTGACATGTAACTGGGTATTTTACAATATAGTGTGATTCATACTAGAATAATAAGTTGTATTTTACGAAATCATCCCGGCTAAACAGGTGTTGACATACAACTAACTGCTTGATATATGAGCTATTTGGAAGGACTCTTAATACTGTTGATCTTATTTTTAGGGGTGCTGATTCTGTTCCTTACTTTTTTTGCTTTTTTGCACTGCTGGCTCAATGCCTTTGCTGAGATGTTACGCTTTGGCGACAGGATGTTTTATAAGGTAATATATAATTAGACTCATCTTTCCTTTCACATTTAGTGTGTTTCCTCATTAAGTGTTTGAGCATTGTTGGCTCATACTACCAGCTTTTTGACACAAACATTGTGAAATTTCTTTTCCACAAATTTTACCAATATTGTCTGAAATTCTGATACAGATATAATTAGCATAGTCTTGTCTTTTATCTCTAATTTCTGCTCCCTTAATACAAGCTCATGGTTTCTACTGGATCCTGTGAGATATATTGGTGATCACAGCAGGAAAGTGTCCAGAAGACATTATGAGACGTCCCTGAGTGTCCGTTCATTTGAAGTTGGCTATCTAGTTCTGTAGGAGTGACCTCAGCAAATTATTCCATTTAAGACCAGTTCGTGAGGGAAATAACTTTTCTCTTCTTTATTTTGAAAGGTATTAATTCAGTAGTATCCTTACACTTTGAAAGTTGAAATTAAGTTCTAGACTGGAGCCAGAGTGGCTCTATAGTGTTCTATAACCCTACCTAAAGCCCTCTTTTAGTTTTTGTTTTTTGACATCACTGCAAGTCTCCCATGCTTTTCTCAAAGAAATATGAAGTGTGGATTGCAAATTTTAGATATCTGATTTTATTAGTCTGATCTTAAAATTGGGAGTGAGAATTATATAAAGGGACACTAGGACTTGGAGGTAGCCACCATCTCACTCCAGTGTAACTTAAATCTTGCCGTTTATGATACCACCAAATAACTCTTTAATGTTAACACCTTATCTGGTCTTAATGACCTTAGAATTTTCTTATTATGTTCTAGCAAGGTGATGAGCTGGCAGGGGGCAGGGAGAGTTTACTGATGGCTATTTAGATGATCATTAGATTTAAATGATTCTCTGTATTCTGTAACTTCCATCATAACTTGTTTGATAATGAGACAAAATGAACCTAGAAACTTAACCATACATAGTACTAGAATTCATGTCATATTCAACACTAATAACCAAAATGCCTTTTAAGAGTTTTCTGACATGAGTGTATGGACTATAACAATTTATCATAATATAGTGTGTGTTCCATGTTATGTATATACTTTGGGAAAATTGAGGGGGTTTGGCGTTGGAGGCTGTGTGTGTGTTTGTGTGTGTGCAGTTTTATACCTTTACTTTTCCCCCCAGGATTGGTGGAACTCCACATCATACTCCAACTATTACAGGACCTGGAATGTGGTGGTCCATGACTGGCTATATTATTATGCTTACAAGGACTTTCTCTGGGTAAGCAGCAAGATTTAGTTGACCTTGTTTAAGAAATGAATATTTGGGCCGGGCG